ATTCATTACCGCGACATAAACAAACCATTACAATTCCCTCTTTTACAAACATAGAAAGCACTTTATTGATTGATTTAGCAATTTTATAACATATTAAATTATTAATACATAAACTAGAACAGTCATACCCTTATACTAGAGTCTTAATTATTGACTAAATTTTATAATTTAAAGCAATAATTTACCATTCCCGTTCCTGGCACACGTAACAGACATGGCAGATTATATACCCTTTCTATTACCAGGGGGTACCTCTCCGCCGTTTTTCCTTGGTCAATATATTTTGCAGAACCAGAATCAGGATCCATCAAACGAAAATGATTAGGTTGTCCATTTTTTAGTGTCCCGTATACAAACACCCTGGTCATCGAGGTTCAGTACTGTTTAAAATAAAGGTTGTAGGTTTTATCTATAGAGGCGGATCCAGGGCCGGCTCGCCCCCCCCCCCCCACATGTTTGAATTTTTTGTATGTGGACCTTAAAATATGTTCATTATACTAAAATCAAGAAAATAACACCTCTTATTTGTAAGAATTCGTCAGCTTTAGGGGGCTTTGCCCCTGGACCCATTAGGGGCTTGGGCCTTCAAGAAAGCCCCTAAACCCACCCACCCCCGCCTTCTAACCTCACCACCCCGACCCCACCCACTCGATATGAAATTCCTCGATCCGCCACTGATCTACATGTATAGTGAGAATAACATCAATATGTTTTAGTCTAGAAAAAAGTGATAACATTTAATTAAGAACAATTGATTTATCGTTTATGAAACAATTAAGTTATAGATAGTCAATTTTTAAAAATCATAATACTAGTATCAGTTTGAAGTTCGTGGATTGTAGGTCCGTTTCTTGAATTTGTCGTAAAACTCTTGCAGCTAGGTTAAGTCAGCCTTAAACATAAACAATTTTAAATGCTATATATATTCAATACTAGCGTCATAAATAAGCTTATCAATTCTTAAGATTTAAAATTATTCATATGTAGGCAATAGCAGGTATTTTGAGGTATTTAATCAAATGCTTAGCTTCTGTCCCTAACGCGTTTCCGTAACCTTACACTTACCTTTCATTCATGAGTAAAAACAAATATGAGATGTGACAGATACATCTAGTAATATATATTTACCTTGGAGTTAGTTCAGCACTGTTAAAGAATTACTCAGGTTTCACTTTGTTGTCTTCAATCGAAAACCTTTGGATAAATCATATATACTGACCACTCGAAAAAATCCTATCAGTTTTGTGCGTAACGAGGCTTATAAAGGACATTACCAAATTATATCATTCAAATACTCACACATTACTTGAGCATAGGCACTCCCCAACTTAATTGTTTAAAAAATTTACATCTACTATACAATTGATATAATATGTTTATAGTAGATGTAATTTTTTTTAAAACAAATAATGATAAAACAGAAGGGTGTCCAAACTACTTATGAGTTTTAAAACAGCAAGCTTCGTAGAATATTCAATTGGATGAAAAAGATGAAGTCAACGAACAATGCATGACGATCTAAAAAAACAAATCTGTGGAGTCAGAGGGCATAAATACAGACCCTTGGAAATACCAGAGGTGGGATCAGGTGCATTGGAGGAGTAAACATCCTTTGTCGACCTGTCACATCCGCCGTGAGCCAGGTATGTATTGATCATGTAGAACTAAGACGGCATATTCCAGTCAAATGCAGTAAAAGGCCTAACAATATATTATATTGGTACAAAACATGTGAGCCAAATTCGACTCATTTACTTGTAAGTTCCTTAATACGACTAAGAATCAATGAAATGGTGAGTTTAAACGAGGTTGTAGAAACTAATATTACGACTAAGAATTAACGAGATGCTGACTTGAGCGAGATTGTTGAAATCCTTGTAAGTGTAAACATCATCAGACTTCTTAGATCCGCGCCGTATTCACTCTGCGTAAGTGT